CAGTGTGGCTGTTCAGCATCAGTGCCAGCTTTGGGGAACAAAAACAGATGTGGTTGCTTCGCCCACCAGGCAGAACTCAAAGCTGTCCTCAGAGCTCCCACCAACAGGCCTTGATGAACCTTGTCATTTTTTATTGACTCTTGGGTTGTTGACAATGCCTAGCTGTTTGGTCTGCCATTTGGAAAACTACAGACTAGCAGATTAAAGACTTCCCTCTTTGGAGCCAGGAACTGTGGGAACAAATTATGGTTGCTGTTGGGACCATCTGGATCGCTCATGTAGGCACACAACTTGAGGCTCACAACTTGTAGGCACGCAGCTTGTTTCATGAGATGGCCTGGGATCAGACTGCAAGTGAGCCTGCACTGCCCTGACAGCCACCTAGGCTGGACCCATGGTCAAATCAGACACGTATCACACCCACCACCTCAGACAGCCCTGACCAAAGGCCTTTCCCCCATTTAATACTGCATGCCAGGTCTGTGACTCCTAATAAAAGTTCAACTGTTTGTGTCTAGCAAGGGAAAACCATTGCACAAAGTTGAGTCCATCGAGCCTTCGACCCTCCCGGGTTGCTGTGGAGATGCCTCACCAATGATGATATTTTCTGAGGTTGCTGTTCCAGGCCCATCAGCTAACTCTGCCCACACCACTGTGGCTCTTGTAACTAATCTTTGTTTTATTTCCAGTTTTCCAGATGGTTAATCTTAGAATGATGCACTTTAAATTTCGATGGCTCTCAAGCCACTGAAGGTATTTGATGAAACTTCCACACTGCCCACCACAGTATAGGCATCTAAGGGTGTTTGACCTCCTCAAAACTTAGCTCAAAATGATTTTCATGACATCCTAGTCTGAGCACTTTAGTAAGACAATATGATCACTAATTATCACCATTCTTAGGAAGCAGTCATCTCTTGGCCACTGCTGAGTGCCAATCAGAATTTTAAAAGGTGGCATTTATATAGACCTATTTTGAAAAATTGGGGTTCCCTTCTCGGCATGGTGTTTCTTTCTACTAATGGCAGCCCCAGCAGAACCAGTTGCTTTACCCTCTGGTGGCTTCCCAGTCAAAAGAGGGTCTAGTGGATTCAAACTTAATGCTGATTCATCTTCTGATTAACTCATTATACAATTTGTTAGTCATATTATTAAGTAATACCAAGTCTGACAATCTTTGCATTTTTCCCTCCCAAGAATTTTGTCTCCAAAACTGAATAACAATTCTATATTAAACCAACAGTTCCCAACCTATGTCCCAAGGCACCAAGTGTGTCCAGCAGGCAAGCCCATGGAGCACTTAAATATTTTAAGTGCTACAGACACTAAACATCTATAGAATACTGCAGATTACTAGTCCAAGACAGATCACAGTTTTAACATTAGAATCACTGGAGTAAGTAGTAAACTCTGAGCCCATGAATCACATTCTCAGTGAACTTTTTACAGACTGCACCCCCATCTCCACGTTGAGATCTCAGGTGTCAAGGATTACAACTCCCAGCATGCCATGAATCTGACTTCCTGAATGGAGGGTCGCTGGGAACTAGGGCTAAAATTAGGTAGCCACGTTTGGCTTATAACTAAAGACGTGGGCTTGAGCACTCTTGCTTTTCTGACTTTCAACTTATGCCCTGGTGTCTCAGTTCAGAAGGTGTTACTGGTAGGACATGTGAACCAATTCTCTCTCTTTGTGCTCCCTTTTCTCATAAACCTGTTTTTCCCTCTGTGTGTCTGCTTCTGGCTCTTAAATGTGTGAGTGAGGACTCACCCCGCTTCCCCCTAGGGCTACTCTGTGACAGATTGTTGTATTTTTGGTAATGCCGTATCTTTGCAAAGTTGGCTTTTCTGCAGTTGCTGTGATAAAAAGCGAGTGCTGTGTGAATATTAGAGTGAAACAGGAAATGAGTGTGGCAGAATCTGATTCTGAGGTTTGAGAAGTTGTACAGCATCCAGGATATCCCATTAGCAAATAATGACTATTTAAAAATTGAATAATAATGTTATTTTTTTCTTCCAATTTATGTGTTTCATATTTTCAAATGACTACTAAGTTGTGACAATGTAAGTAAGTATTAAGATATTTGGACCTGATAAATTAATAAAAGGAATTGTTAGGCATTTCTTTTACCCTGAGTTGCTGTGAAAAAAATTACTGAGACACTAGGAGTACAATTAATTAAATTTTATAAAAATAACTTTGTCCCTGTTGTACTTGTCTGGTTGTAACAAACAGCCAATTCATAGGTATTGGGATGGGACACAGAGGGACAGTAGGACTTAAGCACCTGGGAGGAATCACTTCAGTGCTGGGGGGCATGAGAAAGGGGACAGTCTAGTAGGACTGCCTCTGGAGCTTCCTCACAAAGGAAGGCACCGTGGTTCTCCCCAGCTATTGTCAGCCCTTTAAATTGAATTGATGCTGAGTCTTCCATCCCCTGCAGAAGTCTGACCTAGATTTAAGCACCATTCTCCCTAATCTCAGCTGGGAATCTATTGGAAACAGCAGGGATGAGTCTCATTCCTTCACCTTCCATACAAACTCCCCTCAGCCCCACAGCCTGTCGTCCTCTTACCCATTCCCCCAGCCATTGCTCAGCCAATCCAGTGAGTGGATGAGTGCCACTTGGCTGGCCGTGTGGACAAACAGAGCTAGTGGTTCCTCCAAAAACAGGGATTAGACTCCACTGTTTGAAATGTATTAGGAAACCTCAGGGTTACATTCCTGCCTGGAGAACACATTGGAGACACTGTCAACCCGTGCGCCCACTCCAACTCTGCTGATGCAAGGACATACTGGGAACCCAACAATTGTAAACCACATTCCCCATCTCACCCCCAGGAGCACCGTGAGCATCCCCCCTGGGAATAGAAGGCAGGCACTAACTTGCCTTCCTCCCCAAATCCTAGGGAGGAACTTGCACTGTCGGTTGGTAATGAGGCCTGAGGGGAACACCGCCAGGAGATCCGGTGACCCTTGGTCAACCTCACCATTCTCTTCAAAATGAGGCTGCCTTTTTTTTTTTCTTTTTAAAGATTTATTTTATTTATTTATGCATACAAGAACAGGGTCTAGGCCAGAGGTGGGGTTGGGCGGGGCGGTGGTGAGAGGATAAACCAGAGACAGAGTGGGGAACAGAACAGGCAGATCGACTGAAATACACTGCTGAGGGGAGCAGCAGGCAAGACAGGAGAGGTCTGCTGCGCCATGTGGTCCAGCTCTCTGGCCAGGAATCGAATTCATGCTTCAGTGGCTGCCATAGCTTCATAGTGCTAAGACTTAACCCTGCCTGGCTACATTTCATGCAGAGCACTTGTGTACCTCTACATCATCAACCAAGGTCAGTCAGAGCTTGAATCCAATCACCTCAGAAAACCTGGAGTTAGGGAAAAATGAGGTCATTTGCCAAAATGGTTAAAAGAGGGGTAGAAATATTTACTTGGGTGAAAATATTCTGTAATTGCAGAACTAACTACAAAACTTTATATAGGGCCTCCCTCGTGGCACAAAGGGTTGAGCTCTCCCCTGTGAAGCTGTCCACAGCTTCTGCAGTGCAGGTTCGATTCCCAGCCAGACAGGGAAAAAACCCACATGGTGTAGCAGACCTCTCCTGTCTCGCCTGCTGCTCCCCTCAGCAGTGTTTTCCGCCCATATGCCTGTTCTGCTCCCCAATCTGTCTCTGGTGAATTCTCTCACCCTCTGTCGCCTCTGACGTATACCCCAGTTCTTGTATAAATAAAGAAATCTTAAAAAAAAAAAACTATTAAAAAAAAACTTTATATAATTTGATAAAGCTCTTCTTGGCACACACATTCAGGGATCAATAAATAATAACTATAACAACAATTATGGTAGGCAATCTTCTTATCCTGTACCAAGTCTTTTGTTCCACTCTGCCTCATTATGTAGTACTTCACATCCATCATCTCGTTAGTGTATGTACATCTCCATACAACCCGACGAATTCATAAATTTATTCCTATTTTATATGTATGGAGATTGAGGCGCAGAGATCATAAACAGGCGTTTGAAAGTAAACTCAAGCTTACTTCTTCCGATTCACCACCTATACCCTCTGTCGATTTCAACATGAGCCTGTACATCAAATCTGTTCGCGGAGTTACCCACAGAAAGGAGGTAAAAGATCTAAAACTTAAAAATATAACACATTTGTGGGCCTCCCTGGTGGCGCAAGGGGTTGAGAAGCAACCTATGAAGCTGTCCACAGCCACTGCAGCACGAGTTCAATCCCCGGCCAGGAAGCTACACATGGCAAGGAAGACCTCGCCTGACTCGCCCACTGCTCCCCTCAGCAGTGCATGTCACTCAGTCTGTCTGTTCTGCTCCCCACTCTGTCCCTGGTGAATCCTCTCACCCCCCACACCTCTGGCCTGTACCCCAGTTCTTGTATGCATAAATAAATAAATCTTTAAAAAAATAAAAAAATAAAAACAAAAACTAAAACACATTTGAGCGCTTAGATTCACCGCCGACTTCTGGACCTGCATTTCGTGAACCCCTTTGGGTTAACGTTCTGCTAAAGCGAGGCTGCTAGAAAGGGAGAGGGTCTTTTTGCAGCCCAACCAATGAGATGGCTGGGTATTGTGAGTGGCAGGTCTTTTGGCCAATGGGTTGAGCCCCTGAGGCCCCGCGAGAGGACAGGAAATTGGGGCCTGGAGCATGTGGGCCCTCTGGCGTGGCGGGTGCGTCGAGCGCTGAGTTCTCCCGGGGCCCGCGGAGCCGGCGAGGGCTGGAGCCCTGGTGAGCGGCTGCGAGGCGGGATGGAAGGCCGGGAGGCCGCGGGGACGCCGCTGCAGGCCAGGCGGGCCTGTGCTCGACGACACGCGCTGGCCAGAGGCTCTTCCCCGGCCGCCCCGTCCCCTCCCCCTCCCCGGCGCGAGGGCCCGTGGGTCGTTATTTGAGGCTGGGTGTGGGGGTCGCGCCCGGCCTCGAGAGGGCGGGAAAGTCGGGGCCGAGGAGGGCGGGGGCGCGCGCACCCACACGGGGCTGCGTGGGAATGGTATTTGCCTGGAAATACTGGGTAGGATCCCCCGCAAAGCTGTTGGCTTTGGGAAAGGTACTTTTTCCGCGGGGAGGAGGCGGGGAGGGCTGGCTTTGGCGCCCTGGGTTAGGCCCCAGGCGCAGGCCCAGCCCGGAGAAGCAGAAGCGGGCAGAAGAGGCCTAGCCCGGCCGCGACCCTTCCCTGTTGGACCTAAGAGCCAGCCAGCTCTGCTGAAGTCACCAAGAGAGCAGCTCCCCATGAAGGGAGGGCCTCCTGGAGGCGGTGCCCGGCTGTAGAAGAGATGATGGAGGTGCGGAGGGTGTGGTGGTGTAGTGCCCTCTCGGTTTGTGCAGATTAGGCAACTGATACTATTTTGGATTCTTCAAGGGCGTTGGAAAGGTATGAGCTGAGTCCTAAGGGGTTAAGCAATTATTATTATTTTTTTAAAGATTTATTTGTTTGTTTATGCATACAAGCACTGGGTACAGTCAGAAGCGCGGGAGGGTGAGAGACTTCACCAGAGCCAGAGCGGGGAGCAGAGCAGGCAGAAGGACCGAAGTACACTGCTGAGGGGAGCAGCGGGCGGCAGGAGAGGTCTGTGCACCATGTGGCATGTGGGACCCTCCTCCGGGGGCCGGGGAGCAGCCGGGGATCTAACCGGAGGTGCAGAGGCTGTGGGCAGCTTCGCAACCCAGTGCTCAACCATTAAAATGTAAACGATTTTTAATGCTCTGTGAGGAAAAGAGTTGGGAATCTCTAACCTTTATAAAATGTTGACATTTATCATTCTGGTAATTATCCAGAAAAGGATCGATACCGGTGTCCTCTACAGCCTGTCAATGGATCCTGTCCGACCACCCTTCAGGGGTACTTCTCCTGTGCATCCTACTCACTGTGTTCGGATGCCAGGCTCTTGGCCACACACTCCTAAACCTTTGGACTCAACTTTCGGCAGGGCGGGACCTGCAGGTCGAGGCTATGTATTTGGAAAGCCAGAGGAACCAAGCCCACAGTGTGGGCCAGCACAAAGGGTAAGGCCAAGTCAGAATGCATAGCAGCATCATGCAGCTTATCATCAGAGCAGATAATTTCAGAGTGCTTAGAAAATTCTGAGGCCCTCTATGAAAACAAGGGTTTTGGGTTTTTTGTTTGTTTCTTTAATAGTTGTTGCATCTTCTGAGCACGTTTTCAAATCCTAGTGTCTAGAAGAATGCCTCATAATGTGAGGTGAACTTGGGTAAATACCTTAGTATTTTAGCTTCAATAAATATGACTATAAATACATATATGAAGGATAGGTTTAAAGATACAGCCTCTTGCTCTTTTCTGAGTGTGTAGATTTTCACTCTGGGTTTGACTCTGCTATTAACAGCAACTCTGCCTGAGAGGTAATAATTGTTAGGGATGGTTCTTTTCAGAAGGTTCGTTACACAATCTTAAAGGAAAAAAAGATCAGCTATTGCTATTGCTCTGTGTACACTTGCATGTATGTGCTTTCTTAATCTCCTAATTATATAGTAATTTTAAGAATTGTATCTGTCTCTAATGAATACATCTCAAAGAATAAAGAGTTAGCAAATATAGAAAGAACCTAATAATGCAGTTGTGACAATTTAGAGTTCACAGTGTCAAATGTAATGTTTTGTAAAAAAAAATTTTTGACTGTGATCTTGTATTTTTATAAGATTATTTTGGCAGTGCTAATTGGTTTAATAGTGTTAAACTGCTACAGGAAAACAATACGTTTGTTGGAGGTTGTTTTTAAAAAACAAAACCTCTGATACCTTTAAATGATTCAGTTTTTTAAAAATGTATAAATCAAAAAATAATAACAGTACAAAACACAACAAAGCAAAAACGTACAATTATAAATCAGAGACATACTGCAGGGGAGGTGGAGGGAGAGGGATCAGAGGGAGGGAGGCAGGAGCACAGGGGACTGAGGTGATGGTGCACGGGTGCATTGGTGAAGAAAACTATGGGGACTACACCTGAGGGGGTGGAGGGAAGGAAATATTGTTTAAAAATGAACAATGATGTGAAAAAAAATAAAATTAACATTAAAAAATACATAAATCAGGATACTGTTCCTTCTTAGGTTGGGTGTACAGAAAGTAAACTAAAATAATAGAAAAGTTAATTCTGTTCCATTACATTCTTTTATGTGGTATATCAAATCATGGACTATAGCTATTTAGGTTTAATATAATGTGCTGTTTTTAAACTATAAGTATTTAAACACATTCTTATGAAATATCTTTATCTTTTATTCTTACAGCATTTACAGAGTATGGAGATGGTGTTTATTATTTACTGAGACTTTTGGAAAGCCATCATTGTTTTTGGGGTTTTAAACTACCTCTTAGAATAATTTTGTTCTTTGACTTTCATAGGAATCTGTAGGTTTGGTATCCATGTTCCGAGGACTGGGCCTTGAAACAGTGTCCCGGGCCCCTGTGAAAAAGGAAATGCCTCCTTTAGGTATGTGGAAAACAAACTTGAAAAAGTATAGTGCTATGTGTGATTGCTTTGTTCTTAATTTCATACAGTTTATCTTTAGAAAAATAACCACCTTGCAACATGTTCAACTCAGTTATAGCTGGGGTTTGGCCTTCCATTCAGGTAGAGGCATTTTAGGTCGAGGCTTGTCTACCAGTATGGTGTACAAGGACAAAGAAGAACCCTATCCCACTTTTCCGGATCCTTCAGTGTTGGCAGCTGGGGATAGCAAGATGGCAGAGGCATCCGTTGGTTGGAATCGGTGGGTAAAGTTGTCTTCTCAGGTAACCTTCAAATTCAGATGTAATATCTTTGTAAGTCCAAGGAGAAACTTAAAAGGGTTGCATCATCTCACAAACAGCGCATGGTTTTATATTAAAGAATGGTATTTTCCTAGCATAGTCAGCAACCACTGATCCCATCAGTCATTGGAAAAGGGTAAGTTGTTCTCCATTGAGCAGTTCACGGCTTGACTTGCCCTATTAAGAAGGTAACCCTGATTATAGTGGTTCCTTAACCTGGGCAACTCAAACGTCCACCCCAATTCTGATATGAAAGTTGGTGCTAAGAGTCAATATTGATAGCAATTGGTGTGTGAGTCATGTTGACACACAAGCTTTGGAGAGAATCCCAAGGGTGTGCTTTTTTGTCTCTTTTGCTGACTCCTCCAGGAAAAGAATATAGACTTGGGGGAATAATTTAGATGGGACATAGAGAGCAGTGTGCTTTGCCTCTCTTTTCAACATTTCAGAATGCTTGGGAGAGGGAATTCAAATGCATCTTTATTACCGTTGGGAAGAGCAGCTGGCGGTATAGGCAGGGGAGTATGCAAGGCTTCCGGAGCTCTAGGCTTGGCTTCACGTGATCCCACGCAGCTATCATCACCCCCACCGCCGCCCCCATCCTCACTGAACTCAGTGAATCGCTCTCCACTTGGAATTGGAACTGTAGAACACAAGGAAAAGTAAGTTAAGAATGCGGTCTTTTCTGCTTGGTAATGTGGGAGGGACCTTCACCTCGGACTGTAAACGCAATTTCTGTTGTATCTGAAGTCCCGATGGGGGTGATAAGTAGGTACTATGGGATGGTTTTGTTTTGTTTTTTGATTTTTTTGCCAGTGGGGAAAATGACAGAGGTAGAAAGTATGTACTAGAGAGTGGACTCAAAACTTCTCATTTACTTCCCAGTTCAGACTTAAAGATTCTTTGTCTTGTTGAAGATAAGGAAATCACTTATGAACAATATTGCAGTGGTTAATCTTTGTCTATTGAAATGATTCTTGTGTACTTAGACAGCTAACCTAGTTTATCTTCGTGATACTATTAGGACAAGTAGGGTGACCTTACATCTCTAATTAAGAGATTGTTAAGAATTTCTCTTCTAGCCTTTAAAAATTGTTTTTGTATGTCTTGATTTTTGGTTTGAATATCTATAGGCAACCTGGGCGAAAAATTACTTCCCCAATTTTTTTTTTTAAGATTTATTTATTTATACAAGAATCGGGGTACAGGTCAGAGGCGTGGGAGGTGAGCGAATTCACAGAGACAGAATTGGGAACAGAACAGGCAGATTGACCGAAGTACACTGCTGAGGGGAACAGCGGGCGAGGCAGGAGAGGTCTGCTATGCCATGTGGGTTTCTCCCTGGCCGGCTGGGAATTGAACCTGTGCTGCAGAGGCTGCAGACACCTTCACAGCACTGCGTTCAATCCGCTGCGCCACCAGGGAGGCCCCCCAATGTTCTTTAATTTTTTCTCCCCCCACCCCTTTATTTTTTTGGTAGAGTGGTGGGGTGGTTTTTTTTGTTTGTTTGTTTGTTTTGTGTGTGTGTGTGTTTGTTTTTAGTATATGTGTGTGCTTTCATTTTTTGCTTTTATTTTCTAGAGAGCTTTTTGTGAAACAAGGATCGAAAGGAACCCCTCAATCTTTGGGGTTGAATCTTATCAAAATACAGTGTCACAATGAAGCAGTTTATCAATATCATGTGACTTTCAGGTATACACAACTTTTTTTCTCTGTGTTCGCTTAGGGAGCGGTAATGAAATTGTTCCCCTGGAATACTAAATATTTTTCTGTTTAATTTCTGATGAACTTGCCCACACAATAACTCAGATCCTTGCAGTAAATTTATAGGTAACATAATTTTGATTTATATTACCAATTCATTCTTTAACTTAATAGGTAAAGGTTTATGCATGAGTTTAGAGCTAGGTTTACTAAGAAGTTAATAAAGTTTAAGTTCGGGGCCTTTTACTTAGATAATACCATTTCATGACCTTTTAACTTACTTTGTGTCTGTAATTTTGTATTCTCTTCTTAAAGAGAACCTCCTCTTCCCCACAACATCTGGGTCTTCTCTGCATGAGAAGATGATTTGATGATTCTCTATTGATAGTCTAGATTGAAAAAATGAGAAAATATTAACTAGGACTTGTCATAGTTTTTTTTTTTTTTTAAGATTTATTTTATTCATTCATACAAGCATTGGGTACAGTCAGAAGCGAGGGAGGGTGAGAGAATTCACTAGAGCCAGAGCGGGGAGCAGAACAGGCAGACTGACGAAATACACTGCTGAGGGGAGCAGCGGGCGGCAAGAGAGGTCTGTGCACCATGTGGGACCGTCGCCTGACAGCTGGGGATCGAACCTGCGCTGCAGAGGCTGCAGGCAGCTTCACAACCCAGCGCTCAACCACTGCGCCACCGGGGAGGCCCAATAGTTTTTTTAAAATTAAGAATTCATGTTAGTTTGTGTTGTCTTTAAAATATCAGGAGAGTCATTAGCTGGAATTGTGAAAATGAATGTTTTGGAATATATGTGAAGAAAATAGGAAGATGGAAGACTGAACTTTTTTTTTTTTTTAATAGAGGCAAGTTTTATTTATTTATTTGTTGGTTTGGTTTTTGTTTATACATGCACTGGGTACAGTCAGAAGCGCGGGAGGGTGAGAGAATTCACCAGAGCCAGAGCGGGGAGCAGAGCAGGCAGAAGGACCGAAGTACACTGCTGAGGGGAGCAGCGGGCGGCAGGAGAGGTCTGTGCGCCGTGTGGGACCCTCCTCCGGTGGCCGGGGAGCAGCCAGGGATCGAACCGGCGGTGCAGAGGCTGCGGGCAGCTTCGCAACCCAGCGCTCAACTCCTGCGCCACCAGGGAGGCCCGGAAGACTGAACTTTTGAAGGACAGTTACTATTTGGTATAGGAGGAAGAACTGAGTGTAAGAGAGAAGAAAAGAAATGGGGAAAATACCCTGGAGACAGCTTATAAAGACCATAGGAAGGGTCTACTTGAATAAGGAGTCGGTGATTGACTTGGGCAACAGGGAAAAGATTGAATTTGCTGGGCGATTTAGCAGCTTTATTAGAGATTCAAATAACAAGAACCTAGGCCATGAAAATTAGCCAGTGAACTGGCTTCTCATTTTAAAAGTATGTAAGAAGAATGAGAAATGGAATGCTATAAAAAGGGTGGCAGGGTTACTTTAGAGGTTTTCAGGAGGCACAAAAGCAGAGTTGAGCACATATGACTGCTGAAGAGAAAGAGCCAGCAAAGGGTGAAATTGAACCCCCGAGAGGGGAGGAGTGGGAATAAGCCTGTCTTGGAACCTAAGGGACGAAGATGAGTTTTAACTAGAGTCTAGAACCTTTTCTCAGGAAATGCATTGACAAATGTTAATCCCCACAGCGTGGAGCTACACTCTGGTGATCCTGTAGATTCATCATACTACAAGAAGGAGTGCTATAAAGATAAGGTTCAATATTGTGTTTAGGGCATAATGCCATGTATATATTTATGAGTTTTTTTAGGACATTTAAAAATGTGAGGTTAGTGTGAGAGGTTTGGGGACAGCTATATTGGATTGCCACTTCATCTTTTTTTTTTTTAACCTTCATATTCTTGAACATACTTGCTTTTTTAGCTTTGGATTTGTTTAAAGTTTGGAGGTGTAGAAAGAACAAGGTTGTATGTTACTGTGTACGTAATGGGACAGTCATTGTACAAAGCAACTATTTCAGAGCTCTAAGATTTTTTTAAATATTTCTAAAAGATTTATTGTTTATGCATACAAGAACTGGGGGTACAGGTCAGAGGTGCGGAGGGTGAGAGGATTCACCAGAGACAGAGCGGGGAACAGAACAGGCAGACTGACTGAAATACACAACTTCGAGGAGCAGCAGGCGAGACAGGAGAGGTCTGCTACACCAGGTGGGTGCCTCCTTGGCCAGCTGGTGATCGAACTTGTGCTGCAGAGGCTGCAGACAGCTTCACAGTGCTGTACCTAACCCCTTGTGCCACCAGGGAGGCCCCCAGAGCTCTAAGATTTGTGACAGCAAGTCAATAAAAGGTTGAAATTGCCATGAATGAAAAAAGGTTAGGGCAAAAAATTTTTTTTAAATATTTTTAAAAATAAGCATGTGTCTCTGCAGACTCTTGATCAGAAGTTGACAAACTACAGGTGGCCTACAGATCAAATCTGGCCCATTGCCTGCTCTGTAATTCAGTTTTGGGGGAACTCGTTGGTTTGCATATCTGTGGTACTTTTGTGCTGTATCAACTGAGTTGAGTAGTTGCAGCAGAAACATTATGTCCTATAAAGCCTGAAATATTTGCTGTTTGGCTCTTTACAGAAAAAGTTTTCTCACCCTTTGGTCTCAAATCTGGATGAATGCATGCTGGATGAACGTAAGGCAGTGTCTGCGGGTGGTAGCATTACGAGTTTTTCTTTTCTATGAGCAAGTATCCTTGGGTCATTCTCTTTTAGTCAGATGTATTTGAATTTTTAATATGGCCACTAGATGGAGCAGTAGTTACAAGTGACTGTTGCTCCAAGCAGACCTATCACAGTTGCAGAAAAGACTGCCGTTTGAATCAGATTGACATGAAATCTTACTGTTATTTTCCAGCCCCAATGTGGAGTGCAAAAGCATGAGGTTTGGCATGTTGAAGGACCATCAGACTGTCACCGGAAATGTCACTGCTTTTGATGGATCCATTCTATATCTGCCTATTAAGCTTCAACAAGTGAGACCAAATAGGAAATGTACTTTGGGGTGAAACCTAAGTGTTTTCTGGTGCTTTGAGTGGTGGGAAGTCATAGGTTTATGGAACACTTGAGTTGTACATTCCTGTTCTTAGAGGTAAGGCAGACTTCTTTATAACAGAGAAATGATAAACTTTTACAGAAATCCCTTCTCACACAAAAGGAATGGTTAGAAGCCTTTGACCTCAGTGATCAAATTAAAGAATGATTTAAGATTTCAAGTTTAAGAGATTGACTGCTAGTTCTCCATTGGGTTTCTCTTGCCAGGTCCTTTCTTAAATCCTAGCTGTCTTGCTGTGATGTTGCCCATTGCAGGCAGTAAAGTGAGTGTTTAGGATATTGTAGCCTTCTCTAGAGCACAGTTGGAGTTGATTAGGACTTGGAGGGTTTTTTCACTTGCACATACTTCTTTTTACTTACATGTATTTATTTGTTAGGTCCTTGAGTTAAAAAGTCAAAGAAAAACTGATGGTGCCGAGATCAGCATTAAGATTCAATTGACAAAAACCCTGGAGCCCTGTTCTGACTTGTGCATTCCCTTCTACAATGTTGTTTTCCGCCGGTGAGGACATAGCTGGAGTCTTTTTCTTTTACTTTGGTCTTGTAACGATGCTCTTCAAGAAGCTTGGATGATAGTACACTACAGTGCGTATATAGATCAGCTTGGAAACAGTTAATGAATGATGATATTGGGGCTGACTTACTCAAAAGTTATTTCAAGTGACTGGTCAGATTTGGGTGTAGGAAAGTAGATTTGGAGGTAGCTAGGTAGAGGGATGAGTCCCTTTGGGTTCATACAGGAACTTTGAAAACAGAAGTAAATAGTGCATAATTAATCATGTTAGCACCCAACGCCACTTAAGAGGTAGTGTGTGCAAAGATTTTTGCTGAACGTGTGTTTTTTCCCAGTCTCTTATATTTATGGATTTCAGATAGCTCATAATTTTTAAACCTCTTTTAAGACTCCCTGATTTTGGTAAAATTTACTCCCAAATTACCACTTTTTAATGAAATATGGAAGCTAATTTCCACTGAATTCCTCAATTGCCAGGAAGAAATATATCTTACTATGCCAAACTGACATTCACAAACTTAGAAGTGGATTCTTGCATTCTTTTTAGATGCATTCTTTTTTAAAAGATTTATTTATTTATTTATTTATACAAGCACTGGGTATAGTCAGAAGCGCAGGAGGGTGAGATAACTCACCAGAGTCAGAGCGGAGAGCAGAACAGGCAGAGGGACCGAAGTAAACTGCTGAGGGGGGCAGCGGGCAGCAGGAGAGGTCTGCGTGCCATGCGGGACCCTCCTCTGGTGGCCGGGGAGCAGCCGGGGATCGAACCGGTGCTGCAGAGGCTGTGGGCAGCTTCGCAACCCAGCATTCAACCGCTGCACCACCGGGGAGGCCCATTAGATGCATTCTTTTTACAATGGGGAAGCGTAATGTAAAGTGACCCTAGAAAATGAACTAGATTTTTGATTACCAATTAAGTAGGAAAAACTGCAGTCAGTTGCATGTTACCCCAAGATGAATGCTTTTGGTGATTTTTTTTTTTTTTTTTGTCAAGAGTATTCTCAGCATAAATCTATGTTCTGCAAAGAACACCAACATTTCTGACACTTTATATCTCCAAAGGAAAATGTAGCTAAGAGGAATAGAGCTTACTTAAAATAATTTTTTTTGTACTGAAAATCTTGCTCCTTATTTTAGGGTAATGAAACTTTTAGATATGAAGCTGGTGGGGAGAAACTTCTATGACCCTACAAGTGCCATGGTACTACAGCAACACAGGTAAGTGTTGTTTTCCTCCTCCCTACTTTTGAATGTTCTAGAAATAATTTTCATTGAAATCACCTTATTTAGGACAAAAATTGCAGTAGTGTTTTAAGATAGTGAATGGAGTTTATCGGGTAAATGTCTTCCATAGTTTAGTTTTTCAGTAAGTTCATAATGATCTTGATTTGTTTTCTGGCACTTTCTCATTGTTGTGTTTTGCTGAAATGGGGAGTATCTGCAAATAGTATTATTTCAAGAAGGCATAGACATGTCTGAGATTCTTTCAGAACCCTAATGTAAAGCCCACCTATCTCTTCAGATTGCAGATCTGGCCAGGCTATGCAGCCAGCATCCGGAGGACAGATGGAGGTCTTTTCCTGCTAGCTGATGTCTCCCATAAGGTCATTCGGAATGATTCTGTGCTGGATGTCATGTGAGTGAATGGTGCCATCTACCTTTAACAAGCTAATAGTTTTCTAAAATGTTCAGTAGTAGTTGTTAATAAATACTGTTCTGTTTGAGCTTTAAATTGTAGAACAGATTAAGGATACTGAATGGATATGCTCTGTTTCTTAGGTCCTACCAAGATCGGCATCTCAACAAAGATTATACTACACTTTGACTGGGGTTGAATTGTATTTAAGTCTCTGATTAAGAGATTTGGCTTAATATACAAGCATCTTGAGTTTTTGCTTAAGTGTGTTTCCATAGTAAATATTTCATATAGTAAATACAGATGTGTATCATTTGTATTGGTTGCATGAAATCCCATGTTACGCACCTCTCATTCTTTCTTAGGCTCTGTATTTAGAAGTGGAATTAATGAAAGGACTAAGCATATTAAAGACTTTAAACAAATATGTAATATTTCTTTAATATATTTAATATATTTAAATGTGTTGACATATTATCCTCTGGAAGACTTATTAAGTCTATTTTCCCTCCAGCTATATACAACTGCTGGATGTATTCAGCCTTACAAATCTTTGCTTATCTGATAAATTCATTCATTCAACATTTATTTCTTGTGCTCCAGTTGTGTTTCAGTCTTGGGACATACAGTTAACAAAACAAAGATCCCTTTGCTCATGGAGTTTACTTTGTTGTCAGATGAGATAAAAAATAAATAATAGACATGTTAAGTAATTTGTACAGTAAGCTAGAAAGCTGTGAAAAAAAGACAACACAGAACACAGGGTAGGAGAGATCAGCAGTACTACGGTGGGGTGGGGTTGGAGAGCCACTTACAACTGATATGCCATGGCTTCCCCTCCCTGCCATCAGACTTATTTCCCATGCTGGCAGGTAAAACTATCATTCTCAGTGACCAAAAGATCTGCATCACCCCAAGCTAGAAGGTGACAAACTCACGCAGTTCTTACCAGAAACTTGAAAAGTTGGTAAATAGTAAATGCTTCTTAATTTATTATTTACTTTTGGTCAATTTCCAGTGTCCTGAAATGGTTGTTTTTTTTTTATTTTGTTTGTTTGTTTTAATGATTTATTTTTTATTTATACAATAGCTGTGGTACAAGCCAGAGGCAAGGGAGGGTAAGAGGATTCACCAGAGACAGAGCAGGGAAAAGAACGGGCAGACAGACTGAAAGCACTGCTGTGGGGAGCAGCAGGCGTGACAGGAGAGGTCTGTTGCGCCATGTGGGAATCTCCCTGGCTGGCTGGGAATCGAACCTGTGCTGCAGAAGTAGAGGACAGCTTCACAGCACTATGCTCAACTCACTGCACCACCGGGGAGGCCCTGAAATGGTTGTTTTTAACAATTTTGCTCAATTTTATGGTTTTTCTTTTTTTTAAGATTTATTTATACAAGAACTGGGGTACAGACCAGAGCACAGGAGGGTGAAAGAATTCACCAGAGACAGAGCAGGGAGCAGAACAGGCAGATGAACCGAAAACACTGCTGAGGGAAGCAGTGGGCAAGACAGGAGAGGTCTGCCACGCCATGTGGGTATCTCCCTGGCCAGTCGGGAATCGAACCCGCACTGCAGAGGCTGCAGACAGCTTCGCAGTGCTGCGCTCAACCCACTGTGCCACCAGGGAGGCCCAGTTTTTTGTTTTATTTTTACAGGGCGAATCTCCAACATTTTACACTGCAAAAGCCAGAAGGTCTTAATTTTTTTTTTTTAATTTAAAGTTTTGATTTTGTTTGTGCTTGAGTTGCACTGAGTTCAAATGGATCTAGTGCTGTTTCTGGTAGTCTTGCCTCCATCACCTCCAGCGGCCTGAACAAGTAAAGTTTGAAGTGGCTCCTCCACGGCCTGGGCACCAGTTCTTAGCTGAGCCATTTTCTTGTTGGCAAAAGCCTCAGTTCAGAGGCCAGTTCATCTCAGTGGTGGAGAGCATTGGAGGTGGCTCATGCTTGCAGATAGGTCGGCAGTGGAGAGCAGCCAGAAACAAGCCGCTAAATCAAGAAAATTATAGTGAACCAGGCTACCTCAGGAGAGCAGAGCAAAACAGCTGCCAGCAGTATTTCTAATACCAGTCAGAGTAAACAGATCCATGGAGGTATTAATATATATCATCATTTAAAGGCAAGGAGATCTAAGCCGAAGAGATTCATTAATTTAGAAATATTGCCTCCTGATCTGTAAGCTTTACCGTCTTGTCCTTCTTGAATGTAGCTGACCTCTGCTTAGCTTCGTGTGTTTGGCAGGACCTCGCTAACCTTGTTTGTTTTAATGATTTATTTTTTATTTATACAATAGCTGTGGTACAAGCCAGAGGCAAGGGAGGGTAAGAGGATTCACCAGAGACAGAGCAGGGAAAAGAACGGGCAGACAGACTGAAAGCACTGCTGTGGGGAGCAGCAGGATTGTGTAAAACCACTTGGGGTCACTGTTCTATATACAATAAGAACCCACTCTAGGATTTTCTTTGAGCAAATTGTGTTTGCAGGTGGAGTGAAGGCAGCCTCACCTTTAATATTAATCCAGATGAGGGAGTGAACTGCTTTGTGTCAAAGGGTATCCTAGATGACTCAAAGGAAATAGTTAAGTTTGTCTTCTGTACAAGAACACTGAATTAGAATATACTAAGAGTCTATCTTGATGAAAGGAGAGATGTCTTGGATGACCTCATAACATTGCATAATTTTATTTTTTTTCATTGAATAATTTTAGAAATCAATTCTTGTCCAATGCACTGAGAAAATTTTTTCATTACATCCATGTCCCTGAAGAGCATGGGGAGTGTTTTTGAAACTCTTGCAACAAAGTTTTCACATAGCTTCCTGATTTAATAAGAGAACTTGGACTTAGTCCTGATGCTCTCCATATACTGTGCTACTCTGTAGTTCTACTTTCCACTGACTTCTCTGGCCCTTGTGAAGAATAAAATGTCAAAAGGGAATTTATCTGAAATACTTAATACACTGCCCAAAACATTAGTGGATATTGTAGGGCATCTTTATTGGCCATGTGACTACATAAAAACACAATTGCTAGATGGGCCTCCCCGGTGGCGCAGCGGTTGAGCGCTAGGCTGCGAAGCTGCCCACAGCCTCTGCAGCGCTGGTTCCATCCCCGGCCACCAGCGAGGGTCCCACATGGCGCGCAGACCTCTCCTGCTGTGCCCATTGCTCCCCTCAGCAGTGTAATTCGGTCCTTCTGCCTGTTCTGCTCCCCACTCTGGCTCTGGTAAATTCTCTCACCCTTCCGTGCTTCTGGCTGTACCCAGTGCTTGTATAAATAAATCTTAAAAAAAAAAAAAAAACCCACAATTGCTAGTACTTCAATTTTTATCCTCAAACTGAAGCTACCCAAGGATTTACTTAGTCGATATGGGGGTTATATTACTCCTGTTATCCTAGCCTCTCTATACAATCAAGCTTGAGTGTACAACCTTTTTATCCTTTTACCCCCTACTTTCTTTTTTAATAATTTCCTTGGGGAGCTAAATAATTTTCCAGGCTTTTTCTTAATTTTGCTTATCATGTTTTGCCCGAAGCAGATTCATTATCTGAAACAACCATTTAAGAATGTTAAACTGACATTATACTCCGAAAGGTAGTAAGTTTGTAAAGCATAAGATTTTCTTGAAAAACTTTTTAAACAATATGATGTAATGTGTACATGTTTAAAGAGATTTATAGTGGTTATTTTATTGTAAAGATTTTAACCAAAGTCTATCCTTTTTCACTCAAAAAAAATAAAGTTTTGTTTTTAAGGTACAACTAACAAAACATAAATTCACCATTTTTAAGTATACATTTCACTGGTTTTTCGTATACACACAAACCAAAGCATATAACATATGGTGAAAACTAAGGTCACTTCTAATTCCAGAATATTTTCATCATCCCAGAAGAAATCCGTTACTTGTTACCCCTACTTACATTTGAAATGCAGATATTTCAGAGCTTTCAGGTTTGGATTCTTTTTCATTAACTTGCCAACTGGGTTTTTATCTGTTTCAGTTGGATCCAACTCTTTCTGCAGCTTAGTTATTTTCTTTTATTTCTTTGATATTTCTCTTCTGTAAATTATTGATATTTTTATGTCTTGGACTTATTGTCTCTGTCTGGTATTCCTTATTTCTATTATACCAATCTCTTTATTTCCTCTGAGTACTGAAATGATTTTTTAAACATGCCTCTTACTTCATAATTTTTTTCTAGACCGAGGTTTGCAGCCTCATTATTTTAGACAATGGATTTACTGAAATTTCACAAAGTTTGCAGTAATGATTTATTTTCCCTTAAAACAACTTCTCTGAAATTATTGTCCTTTAATATATTCAGTAGTCTTTTGAATATCTTTAAATGAAGAATTTGAGATTTATGATATTTTCTATTCTGTATTCTTTTCTAGAATTAGATGATATAGTATTGGGTTTATTTTCCCTCTCTTGCCTCATAATGTTTGTATTTATGTTTTCATTATCATTATGTCATTTTTTTATTTTTAAAAGGTTATGAAAATTTTTTTAAATTTGTAGAATAGTATAATCAACCCCTCATTCCCATTTTATAGATTTAGTAATTGTCAATTCATGAACAGTCTTTTTCATATATTCTACCATTTCCCCCCACCCAACTAAATTGAATTATTTTGACACTTATCCTGGCTATCTTATTTCTTTCCTAAATACTTCAGTATATATATCCCTTAAATTGACTCCTTTTTTTTAAACATAACCATAATGCCATTATTGCACTTAAGTTTTAAGTTCCTTATGTTCTGTGTTACCTTGATATATCCACAGGTTCTTCCTCTACCAGACTCTTCATAAATCAGAGTCAAGGCTAGCAAATTTCTTTTTGTTTTTTTTGAGATCTGAAATAACATGTATGAGAGTATTTTATTCTAAGACTCTCATTTTTATTAACATGGAAGAATATCTAAAATATATTAAATTTAGGGCCTCCCCAGTGGCGCAGAGGTTGAGCGCTGGGTTGCGAAGCTGCCCACAGCCTCT